CCCCCACCCCGCTCACTCCACCCCCAGCAGAGAGTCAGGGCCAAGCAGTGAGGTCCCGGGGCCTGTCTCAGGACAAGAGAAAAGGTGGGAATAGCTAAGCTGGTCTTGGATCAGGAAGCTGAGCGGGAGCCCCTTCAGTGTAGTTCAAGGAGCTCCACACCGTGGTGGCCGCAGGTGCAGCTCCAGCAGCCAGAGGTGGGTGAGGCCGAGAGTGGCGGGGGCTGACCCTCCAAGCCCTGTGAAAGGCCCAAGTTCAAGGTGTCCCAGAGACATGCATTTCTTCTGCGTCCTCAGCTCTGTCCCAGCTTCCCTGTCTCACTGACAGTAACAATGACAACAGTAATCATAACAACCACCCTGCAGGGCAGCCGGCCCACATCTGCCCCACTTCCCTGTGCCTTTCTAGACTGTGTCCATCAGGACACATAAGGACAAGGCCTGGAGTGACCAAGTCCCCAGGGTCCCCACAGTCAGAGATGCTGGGAGAGGCCAGACGGGTGAACAGAAGGAGATGGGTATGAAGGGGCGTGGGGGCTGACAGGCTGGAGCCTCCACAGAAGGGGGCTGGGTAAGGCCCTGGCAACTGGACGAGGGGAAGCCAGGCCAGCACTTCGTGTTTACTTTCGAAAGAGCAGGGCCAATCTGTGGCCTCCCACTGTGACCCTGGACTGGGCCCTGGCGTGGATTAGATGTTTCTCTCCTGAGCTAATCGCTGGGCTTTGTCCCAGGGGACTCCACATCCTTCCCAGAAGACACAGCCCTCCCCCCTGGAAAACCCTCAGAGATCAAGGGATGCTATGGGTTCAGGAACTGTGCCTCCCATCCCTCCTTAGCCCCTCATCCCCACAACCCCAGCCCCAGCTCTGCCTGGGCTGACCCCATCCAGCCTCGTCCTGAGCTCCTAATTTGGCTGCACAGAGTTTGCAACCCCACTGGGCCACCCCAGAGAGAGCAGTGGGACACCCGCCTTGTTCTCAGTGCCCAGGTCCTGGGAAGAGGAGGCCGGAGGAGAGCTTTGATGCTTAGCCAGATGTCTGTGCCTGAAATTCCACCACTCAAGTTTCCCCTTTGGGTTAAGGCAGTGTTTCCTTTATCTGTTCCAGAAACCCCTAGTGCCCCACAAATGCTTCGAAGGAAAAAACATCAAGGGGGCAGATAAGTTCTGGAAAGCTGCACAAGGCACAAGAGCATATGAAAGGCTCTGAGAAGACCTGCACGGACCATCACCATTCAACTTTGCTTGACGCCCACACTCGGCCACGATTCCAGGGAACATACTACGAGTATCCAAGGCCACAGTTAAATGTCCACTGAAAGAGTCCAGAGGGCGCCGGGGCAGTCAAGCTGCAGAGGGAATACCTCAGTTTGGTTGGACCTGGAAGGAGGGGACAAGGGGGACACAAGCCAGGCCCAGGGGCCCTGCATGCCACCCTCAGAGAGATCAGGCACTGGAAGGGGACTCAGCACCCACAGCCACCATCTTGGTCCTCAGTCCAGCTCTTGGCTCTCGGACCAAACCCCTGCCCTCTGCTAAGCCCTCAAATCCCCCCAGAGCCCTGTTTCCTGCTCCGCCGCCCTGGCCCTAGCGGAGGCCACTGCGCTCATCGGTAGAGTTATAATAGATGCATTGTGAGCCCACAAAATTCAATGTGGTTACTTTATAAAGACAATAACAGGAGTTAGCTTTTCATGCATATTCTTGACACCAGGAAGGCAGAAGGGTGTGAATTCAAATCATGGATCACCCCTTAGCGGTGCTGTGATCTGGGAAACACTGCCACCCAAGGCATCAACCACTGAGCGACTATGCGGATTCTATGAGACACAGAACCCAGGGCCTGGCCTGCTCTTTCCCTCCTCTGCCCACAGCCCTCTAGGCCACCCCACCCTCCCTGGGTAAAATCCCAAATCCCATCCCCTCCCTGTCCCTCCCTCACCCCCTTCCAGCCTCTTAGGCCTCAAGACTTGCAGAAGAGCCTTCACAGGTAGCACCTAAGGACACTCCATCCCAGGAATCTTGGTCCTTAATGGCTGAGCCAGGTTTTATTAAGTACCAACTGTGTGCTCAATGTTCTGGATGAGAGGGAAATAATGAAGCTGGTCTGGAGCTGTCGGCCTTCCTACTGTGATTGCCTAAGACACCATTCCCAGCCTCTCGTCCAACAGGTGAGCTGAGCACACACTGAGTGTCAATATTGGCATTTGCATTTCACAGATGCAAAAAATGAGGCTCAGAGAGGCCAAGCAACTTTCCAGGGACACACAGCAGTTAAGCAAGAGTCAAGAGGTTCCCCCTGCACCTCTCCAGGTCCCCCTTGAACCTTTGGAGCCCCCACACCCAGGGCCCCTCCTGGCAACCAGCCGCATTTTGTTTTCCAAGTTCACAGTCCCATTGAAGCATCCCTGTATGCAAAGTCTAAGGACCAGAGCAAACATTTGTTTCTCTAGAGGTGTCTCTGCTCCCTGGGGCCAAGGACACAGCCCTGATGGGGCCCAGCAGAAGGCCAGGGACTGGTTGTCCATTGGGGTCTTGGTTTGCCCTGGACACTGCCCCTTAGCTGATCCCCTAGAGTGGAAACTGCACCCCTCGTGGTGTTCCCCACATCTGCTTCCTTCTCAAACTGGACCCCCATCCCAAGCCCCCTCATCCCTCCTGGTCTTCCCCAGCAGCACCTTGGCTCCCACTTATCACTCTGGCCCCCTCAGAGAGGCCAGCACCACCCTGGGAAAGGGAACGCATCTGGACGAATGCTCTATCTGGGCCTGACTTTCCTGGGGGTGGTAAGATGGCTGTGCAGGCAAACAGGCCACCTGGGGGCCTCTGGTCCCCAAAGCTGACAGACAGCTTGTTAAGGATGAAGAATCAGAACCCAAGAAGCAAGGTTGGCCTTGCTGAAGCCAGGCCCCCAGCCCGGGAGCCCCCCTCACTCACCCCCTCCACACACACACAGACAAGCTTTAAGGAAGTCACACCACACTGGGGCTTCTCATTCAGGCACGAGGGGGGATTTTATTCGCACTCTCCCAAATGCCCGGACACCTCTGTGATGCCCACGGGGCAGGACACAAGCAGAAGTCCAAGGACCGCCACTCACCTGGGTGTGCTGGGTGCAGCACAGAGGGTCCAGGTGAGGCAGAAGAAAGGCAGCCGAGTTTGAAGTTTATATCAAGGTCACAGCTTGCTGAGCTCTAGAATAATCGCTGGCCGTGTACACTGGGGGTGGCCCAGGGGTCCAGTTGAGCCATGTCTGCCCCAGCAGTGGAGGGGAAACTGAGGCCAGCCCTCAGATCATCACTCTGAGATCAAGAGTGACAGTCCCAACAGCAGGTCCCAGAGCTGGACAGGGTGAGAGGGGGGACCTGTGGGTGCCAGAATGCAGGGATGGGAGCGGCAGGTAGGAGGGGAATTCAGGGCTCACTGGAAACTGAGGAGGCAGGTGGAAGGGTTGTGCTGCATTTGCAAGGTGGAGTTTGTTTTTTTGTTGTGTTTTCTCTTGCCCCAGCTTTACTGGGATATGATCGGCATCTAACATTGTGTAAGTTTAAGGCCTACAACGTAGTGATTTGATATATGTATGTTTAGGCGGCGGGAAAGGCACTGGGTGTTAGTCTGGTGGGGTCAGACCAGGAAACAAGTTATAGAGGCAAAGGAAGGGCCCTCGGAGCTTGGGAGTGAGGAAACTAATGCTAAGGCTAATGCTAACATACCTGGGAGGGTGGGGGGCAAAGGGGGAACCCCCGGCGTGCTCCCAGGAGGGACAGTGCACTGGGTCCTCCATCCTAATGATTTTGAGCTTGGAGATCTTAGGGGAGGTTCCAGGGAAAGATCTTATTACAATATTCAGCAGCTTTCCAGGTGTGTCCTTTCAGAGTTGCGGTCTCTACTGATTTATTGGTTGGCTTTGGCATCGGGGTAGGGGGGGTCATTATACAAGCAGCTGGTCCTGAGGTCAGCTGTGGCTGGTTTTGTTGCTTTTCTGGGCCTGGAGCTGAAATACAACTGAGGCCTAGAGACTATCTCTAAGGAGGAAAGGTTA